GAATATTGTAATAATATTCACGACATAATATGAACTCTTTGCAAGAAAGCATTGACTTATTTAAAGTTTCTAAATGGATCATTCCAATATTGATTTTGTGCATCTAGCGAAAATAGTATCATATATTTGTCTAAATTTCAGTAACTATGAATATGTGTGATATGTAAATATTGTAATAATATGCACGACATATTATGGAAATATTGTATTTTCTTAACTTTATATGTTCAATTTATACATATATATATACATAAATTACTATACCGTAATCGGAAATGGGAATTTTCTTACATGGCAACACCGCAGATACCACCTATGTGAATATTAAATAGTGATACAATGATTAATGCATTAAACTCATTTAGATACGATATGTCTGGCTTAGTATTGTTACAATAAACAAATCTATGTCTCCAGAATGCACTTGTAGTATTTCATCTCCAATTGGTTCTGAAGTAAACTTTAAAATGGAGTTATAAAGTGTGTATGTGATTACACCTACTACACCTTATATCTTTGCTTGTTATTATAGACGAATGATACACCACTTTGCATAGCTGTTATATGTGGACAAGCAAAAATTATTGAATTTTTATCAAAGGAAGACGTGAAGACAATCAAACCCACTATTGTAGGTATTATTTTACACGTTGGCATTGTTGACATAGAATTATAATTGTCAGCAATGTATTATATATGGTCTTTATTCACATAAATGCCCATATACTATGTTTGGCTGGTGTTCTTATTGCACTTTAAATTGTTATTGTTATTATTATTATTATTATTATTATTATTAAAGTGCTAGTTGTATCTGTATTTCACATAAAATTGATTACTCCTGCTTTGTTTTGAAGACTGACTTCGACGATGATTATGTGCCTGACAATGTCCTGTTTGCCGTTAAAGATATTAATGGTATGTTTTATCATCCTGTAATCATCTTTCAGAAAACTTGTGAAGTAATTACTAAAATTGCTATTTATGAGGGAGGGACAGTATTAAAAATTGCTGAACCAAAGTAAGCTCTGTTGGTTATGTCTCAATGTTGTTTTTCTTACAATCTACAGACGAAAATGCGCTCCAATACATCGGTGACATTCTATGATAGTGTGGAACAAGAAAACAATGGTAGTTGCATTTTATTATCGAAATTCATTCATATATTCTATACATGTCGCTATAGAATTTCACACCTTACTTATTTTACTACTGTGTTGTAAATAGGAAATGGTAATGATATGAGGAATGAAAACAGCGAATGTACAGATAAACAAGTAAGACCACGTGTTATACTCTAAACAATAATGAATTGAATATTATCTTTTCCGCCATTTAAAAATAGTAATATTTATGTTAACGTTTTTATTTTGATATTTTTGAATGCAATGTGTGATGTATTACCATTGGTTGTATTTAAAAAGTAGTTCGCTTTCGTCATTTTCCAATACTGTTACATTTGTTATAACTGTGAATATTTTTAATATAACTTCGACCAATATGAAGAATATATTAATCATATAGCACTATAGCAGATTTAGCTAGTGAACCAATATCAGCAAAAATAGTGGTCTAACCATCTGACGTGTTTTCTTGTCTTATTGTTTTTTCTGCTAAAAAGTTACGTACAGAACAAATCGGAGATACAAAAAACGGTAAGACGAATACTTAATTAAATGGTTTTAGAATTAGTACAGTCGAGATAATGTTGTTTATTCTAATATTGCATGCTTTCCCGTCAATCAATCTGTTACACCCCTATCATTTACTTATAAATGTATCCCCTTGAGGGGGCTACGCGTTATGGCGCCCACTAAGGCAGTAAATAGTTACAGCACATTGCGTGGGTCATCTCAATTCAGTCCAGCAGACAGAAAGTTAGTTTGAAGTTGATGCCAATACGCTTGTTTGCATAGAAACACTAACGTTATTATCATCATTGTAGACGGTTTTGTGTGACTCATAATTATACGACATACATAGTAATTATATAAATCTTACTTATCGGTATTTACACAAATTGTCGTCGTAAGTTTATATGGACTGTGCGACACCAATGACCAATGACGGGCTGTATGGAGTTAGACCATGAATATTCATAAGCTGATCATTATGTAATTTTTGAATACGGCGTCCCCACATGCTATAATATCTATATAAACAGAACAGAAGTATACTGTAAATAACAAATTGTTTGAGTACGTTCATAGCATATTTTATTGGCAACAAATCCTCCCCATCTGAACAAAATTCGTGCAGCTCCTATGACACGATTTAATGAATGCATTCAGAAGTAAAGATAAGACAGTAGATAGTACGTCACGTTGATTGTAGCATATCAAATATTAATTATGTAAGTGCACTGTGAAAGCAAACATAACAATTCTACATGTAGTAATTATCAATACACATTTTTTTTCAGGACAAAACAGTGTCATGTCGCAGAATCAGCAAATAAGGTTGCTCGCACACAAAAGAGTAGGTTGAATTAAATTCGATATATGCAGTACTGTTGTTTATTGTAAAAGACTGAACAGTGCAAATATTAGATTGTAATACACCTACAATCAAATACTATGTATGTAGGACAACTTTAATTGAATAAAAGCAGAAATTGTAGTATTATAATCAATTTGCATATCATCCAAATAATATAATGTGATTAGATTAGTTTCACATATTCAAGAAGATATTCAACATGACGTTTGTTTATGGCTGGTTGTTTGGTTTTTATTATATATATATAGCTTGTGTTCGAACGTACCGTAACTAATGTCTGAATAACAATTATTTTGCAGAAAATCGCAGGAAAGGGAAGCCACAGCAAAAGAAAACGCATGTGTACAGTAATGGCTGTACCGAGAAATGTTATAACAAGAAAGATTGTAAAATACACGGTGAAACCACCGATATAAACAATGGCACGAATCATGGTAAACAAATACAACAACTAGAGATGAGTAAACACAAATTACAGGACAAGTCTATGTCGGATACAACTTATAGACAGAAACTGAAAAATATGCCTGAATATTTGGAATCCACGCGCAATAAACATGCAAGAACGACACGAGTACACGGAAAAGAAGATCAACGCAGTTCAGATGATGTACGCATGAAGAATAAAACCGCTAAGCACACGTCTTCTATAAAGAATGCGAATTCAGCTAAAATCCAGTCAAAAGTACCCCAAAGTAAAACTAAAGCTCAACAAAGATCTAACACACTCAAGATAAAAGAGCCAGAACATATCCACGACGTGCATAGCTCTGTCAGAAGACGAAAAATTACAATAAAATCCACTGAGAATCAAGATCAAATAAAAGAAAAAAATTATAAAACTAAAAAGTACTCGCGAGGTAAAGATCCGTTCAATTTGTTGGATAAAAGTGGAAGGAAATTCAAATGCAAACTTTGTGCAAAAAGTTTTAAATTCAAAAAAGAATTTATATAGGCATGAACGATAATAATCATACTGATAAATCTGTACGTATTCTTAAATGCAGCATATGTGACAAACCTTTTAAGACACAGCAAAATCTCAAAGAACATATGATAACCCATAGGGATGTTCAACGAATTCCTTGTACATTCCTTGAGTGTGAATGCACATATAAAAGACAGAAAGATTTGAATGTGCATATGAAGAAGAAGCACCCATATTTTTATTTACACAGAAATGCCAGAAAATGAAACAAAATCCGTGCACACCGTTCAAAGCATGTTATGCGAAGACAATCCACCAAGTATGGACCAGCAGTCATCTGTTGTGTCATCCGAAGTATCTACAACCATGTGTGCAAGTTCAACCAGTGGACAGGATGAATTACAGCAAATCTCTTATACTATGCAGCTAGATCATCATAAAACATCGACTTCTGCAATAAAAAGTAACTGTGCTAACCAATCTGATACCCTACAGCTCCCAAATAATATGTTTGACCCATTTAAATTTCTTAGTACCTTGCATAAAAGATCCAGTAAAACAAACTCGTCGAAACAAACTTCCATCTCGTCGACGAAAGAGAAAAATCTTACAATTCTTCAATTAGATGATATAACATATGGCCAATTTTCGAGACAAGATAAAAAAAATCAAGCCTCAAAATTGAGATACAACGCAGGATCAAAATCATCATTAAATACTGATACCAGTCCTGTTACACCGAAACCAATACATGTGACTGGTGGCGATGAATCTAATTATGATGTACTTGACGATCACGAAGGAGTGAGTACAACTAAAGCTATTCATACTAATCCCCCGTTTTCCCTCCAACAAAAAGATGGAGAAGAGTATAAGTGCCATTTGTGCAACAAAACATATTCAAGTAAACGTAATCGAGCGAGACATGTCAAGGATGTTCATCAAAACACAGATTCGTTCAAGTGCAGTTTATGTGACAAATCATTCAAGACACAGCAGAATCGTAGGGAGCACGCACGAGTTCATGAAAAAAGTGTGTTGTTCCACTGTGAAAAGTGTGGTAATAAGTATAAACGAAAGAAAGACTTGAATGTACATTTTAGAAAGAAACACTTACGCTAATTCTAGATTTTGAGTATTTTAACAAAATGCTTTTTTCTTTAACGATTTTGTCAACATGATTTTTGTTTTTAGTATATCAAAAATAACAAGCACCAAACACATAGTCTAACTAATAAGGGGTTCGATGAGGTGAATCTCACGAATGTTATTTAGTAAATATTAGTGTAGAGGAATTATGTTTTTGTACTTTTTATATGTGTCGTTTGCATTACAATTTTGAATTCATTTACTATTTTCTTTTGCAATGTGAGGATAGCAACAATTATGTGCTCAGCATAGGAGTTAAAGAACCCTGCTTGCTGATGTTGAGTTGTTTATATACCTTTTTAACGATTTTGGGAATTGGTGGAAGTTCGGTATTATATTGGTATATTAACTTTTACAACGTATTAAAATATGAATATTCATTAAATGATAAGATATGTTAATATAAACTTCACAATTTGTTAATTCTCTCCTGTATAGATTGTTCTCAAGATACGGATTTATTGATTTGTATTTCAAGTATAGACTGTTGTCGGGTTATAGCACTATCAGTCCGTTTTTGAATGAGATTGAGGAGTTGATTCCTAGTTTCCATGGTTATCGGTGCTCTGATGAGCTATCGAACGTTTACGTGGCGAAATCAACTCCCATACCACTTTGGAACGTGTTACACCAATAACCCCCCCCCCTCACTAGTTGATTTACATAAATTGTTTTCGAATTTCTTAGCCTTACTGTAGAGATTTCACAGGATCATTGCGCCTTCTAGACATTTGGATTTGCATGTTTCCTGTACAAATACTTAACAAAATTGTATATATATATCAATAAAAACTTTTGTTGAACACAATTCCAGGTGTATTTCAATCTGTTATACATATTTTATACGGGTTATTATGACATCTGTCGAATTACCAAGGGAACTGTGATAGTATAACTGGGTAGAAAAATAAATAAATAGATTGTCAACTTGAACAGAATTTTGCTAACATCTGGGTACAATGCTTCAAACCCTAGTATACATAAAGTTAGCTCCTTGAAATGGAAGACTTGCTGACTAATTAAAAATCAGCGAAATGCAAATCTCCACTTTTACGACCCTCGTACGTAATCTCGTGATCCGAGCACATACATAACTGTATGTAAACATAACTGCTCACCATATTTGAATACATTATATTATTTATGAGATATGTCTACGTCAATACCTCGTTAAAGTTATTATCGTATTGTGTACACAGGGTGCTTGTTTCAGGCCATTCTGTAATTTTGTTTAATTTGCTATTACTCTGTTCATAGAGCAGCTCGCTCCCTAGAGCTCATTTTATACTTATCTTGCATTTTCTTGTACAGCGCCTCAGTGTCAACCATTTTGCTGTTTCCTCCACGCTCTAATTCTGAGCTTACGTAA